CTGAATGCTCAGAGCTAGTAACTGGTTAGATACTTGAACAGTTCGTCCCTACACCTTCGGGTGATTGTTCATGATTGTACTGCTTCGGGATGTTTCCCCTGAATGCCAAAGTGAAGCTTTGTTACTTCGAGTAAGCCTTGGTTGTAATTCAGGTTACGCTGCAGAAGGCGCCCTCGGGGCAAACCTCTGTAGTATTTCTAGGAATGACTACTGCCTGAGAATTCAAACTCGTCAATAGACTGTTAAGGTGTGCCACTGGATCTTTTCTCAGTTGAGTCTCTCAGTTCAGACCTGTATTCTCTGCCCGTTTTGTGAGTTGAGTGTGTTGTTCACCGCGTGTGAGTGACTTCGGTTTGACGAAGATACCGCATCCGAAGTAGGAAGTCCAAACCGGGTGCCCTGTGCTAGCAGAAACTAGTGGAAGGGTTGTAAAAGCCAGAGTTGGGAGTCACTACCTGCAGATTCGCTGAATGTACTCGAGAGAGACTTTCCCCCTGAAATCTTAAGTGGAGGTCCTAACCGACCTCTGAGTTGTGTTTCTATAGTTTCAGGTGTGTGTTGAGTGAACTACGCTACACTGTGCGTTCTCCGAGTGACCTCCGAGTTGAGCACTTGCAGTATTTCTGGGAGTGACAGTCGCCTGAGAATTCAAACTCTTCAATAGTCTGTTAAACGTGACACTTTGTACTCTGTGTGTTGCCTCTGTCCTTGTGGGTTAGACCTTTTTACTGCTGAACTGCAGTTTTAGCCTTTGGTGGGTTATTACAGCAGTCAAAAGGGCGGAGCGATTGATCACGACAGCGGAGAAGCGAGAGAAGAAGCATGTCGAAGACCTTGCTACATTGGAAGCCCGAAGAGCCGAATAAGCTCGCATCGCCAAAGAACTTCGGGGCAAGCTCGCAGGTACGAAGACGGCGGAGGAAGATCTTCGTAGGCAAATTTCGGAGATTGACGCGAAGTACAAAACAGAATTCCGACGTGCGGAGGAGCTATCAGCAAGTCTGTCGGCGGGAAATCAGAAGCATGAAGACGAGTTGAAGGATTGGGCCAAGAAATTGGCAGAGTACGAGTCGGCCAAGTCTTCGGAGGTCGAATGTAGATTAAAGGTTGAATCTGACTATCGACGGTTACGGGAGCAGTTAAGAAAGTCGGATATGAGATCGGAGGAGTCGCAAAGGAGAATGCAAAAAGCAAAAGATGCCTATCGTCAGCTGCGGGAGTATTCAACCGACGTGTTGAGATTGCGGTTAGAGAAGTGCCTGAACGAGTTCACGATGTGGGGATTGGATTCGGTGAAGTGGTTGAAACTGGATCTGCTCGAGTGACGGCTGATGAGCGCAAAGTCCATCGGATCCACAGGACACAAACAGATTGTAGAGTTGGTTAATTCATTTTCAGAGGAATTGAATGAGGCGCGCCAGAATGTAGAAGTTGAAATTGTAAACGTGTTGCGTAGATTAGGAGTAGAGAGTAGTTCAGACGATGCTGTAACCGTTACATCGGATGGCACAGCCCTTGAGGTCAATTCGCCTCAGGCGGTTGATATCCCAGAGTTGCCATTGTGAATAAAGAGGCCCAAGGCTCTTTCCTTGGGGGGCTTTTCTGGCTTGTCTCAACTGTCATTCTGTCTTCGCTGGGTGTCCTTGTGCTGGTGTGTGATCCAGACATTGAGCACGACGCGCTCCTGTTTGTCGAAGTTACCGCATTAGGAGTTGGGAATATTCAGCCTTGATGTCTTGGGTAGCCTGGGGTTACCGCGGGATTTAAGCAAGTTCGGGTCTGAGTATTCGGGTCAGTGTGTTGAGATGTATGCAGTGCTGAGAAGTTTTCCCTCTGAAATATAAGTGTGAGATCGCTTGCAATTTTTGCAGGTTGTGTTTGGAAAAGGTTCAGGTTGTGAGTACGGTTTTGCTCTACCTTGTGAGTCTTCGGCTCTGGCTGAGTAGTGTCTTCTGGGAGTAGCATTGGCCTAAGAAGTAAAACTTCGCAATAGAATGCTATCTTGTGACAAATCGTGACTTTTGTGTTTGTTTCTGTCCTCGTGGGATCGGATCTATACCATTATGCTCCATTTTGGTATTTGTCTGTTATTATAGAGAAACAAAGATAGGTCGGACTATGATCAAATTCAGCCATAGTATCGACAACACACGAGAATGAAACTACTCCAAAAATCAACGTCAACCCAAACACGGACGCGCAACAGGAAGCAAGACCTGAAAGTGTCTAAACGCAATTAAACAATGAGCAACGACTTTCCTGCCTTAAAGAAACACAACACATAACAACACAATACACACGGAATATTGCATCACAAAGCGATTTTGATGTGAAAAATCACAAATTGTTTTCTGATGCCTATTTGATTTCCATCATCCACAATGTACTACTGTAGTGTACTCTCCATTGCTGCAATTACCTTTCGTCTACAGCGCCTCCAATGCAATCTTGTCCATCAAGTCGCAAAGAGGAAGTCCATCACATGTAGTCGACACTCCATTTTACACTATGAATTGGTGCAAGAAATATGACAATAATGTGAATATGAATCTAGTCTATCTACCCTTCCATTCAAAATGTGAAAAGGAATGGAAATAGAAATTATGAGGGAACATGTCCTTCAAAACCTTAACACTGAAATGGGTGACAGATCAAATCTAAATCCTCTATCTCTTCAAAATAAGCCCTCATAACTTATATTTAAAACCCTAAACCCCCTTCTTCTTTTTGTCTATCTCTCTACTTTTTTTGTATAGGCTAACTACAAAGCTGATTTCAACACAAATCTTCTGCTCTCAAATTCGTAGATTATGTTGGCGATATATGTTCATATCCCCACCAAGACCTGCTAGATCTACATCCACCAAAGTATTCTTACTGCTACTTACTAAAATAATGGAGTATGTTTGTATGTAATATTTGAAGTCTTCGTCTTGAAGCTTCGCAAAACCAGCTTCTAGTTCCCCCATTCCACGATTACTAGGGTCTTGCAGTGCAACTAAATCCCACTCAAGAAAATTAATTTCTCAAATTATCCACTGATACTCTTCTTGTTCCCACTTGAGAGACAAGTCCCTATCACCTTCATCATCATCAGTCTTTCCCTCTTCGTCTTCAATAATTTTTCCATCTTGTCCATTCCAGCCTTCACGGCTCATCGCCATGTACGAAGACCTCAAACTCTGCAACCTGATCTAAATCAACATGTATTCACAGCCCACTAATTCAATCTAATGCGAAGAGCTCGGAGCAAATCCGAACGAAGATGAATGTCCTCACGTGCTAAGAGAAGAAGCGGACCAAGAGAGTATCAGGCAGAATCAGGAGTAGTCCAAATCTTTCTTCTGAAGCAGATCGAACTGACTGGTCGAACTCACATCACGATGCCGAATCTCGCCATGTACCCTTTTCTCCGTCTTTTGTGTTCTCCGCATTTCCCGAGCCAAAATCAACACCTCAATTCCTCCTCGGACCATCTACTCCTCCTACCTCCAAGAAATACTCTTCACTCACAATCCAATCTTCGCATGTTATTCAAGTGAAATCTTTGCGTAAAACTTGAATCTCATATTAAGTCAAACCAGGGTCACTCCACAACTAGTGGAATTCAGTCTGATGCTTACATGACATCATAATCAATACACTAAGAGCTATTACCAACGCTAAAGCCTCAACTCTAAAATTTGAAGGTTATTCGAGTGATCATCATCTATATTCTTCAACTAGCCACAATGGGCACTAACCTAGGATTAACTCAATTGAAGTTAACCTAACAAATCATTACATACATTACATGATAACCTTCAGTATTATGTGGCAATAAAGTGCATGAGTGATGGTAAATTGTAACCAAATGTATTTTTGATGCAATTTAGATTAACTAAGAGTATACATATGATGTATGACTTTATGTATATGTTAAAATTTGAATCAAGAAATATTTCCATATCCTTACCTCGATCATCAAGAACTTCTTACTAGTGTGCATTTTCCACTTTAACCAAACTTCCACAACTAATCTGTTACACGTCAGTGTGCTCGATTACGTAGTTCAGATATTGGCATATTACAGTCCAAGATTTTCTTACAGCAGTGCAGTAATTATAGACCAAAAATGTAATCCAAAATCGCGGCATCTAAGACGTGAACGAAAGGAAGAGAGCTATTTAAGTGAAGGACTTTCAGTTACTATCGTTGCTGCAAACTAGTTGAAACATCGTCGCTAAACTTTGCCCTCCCCTTCAGTGCGGACACCTCTGAAGTTTGCAGCATTGAAGTATGAAGATGAATGTTATTACATTGCTTGCTAATCCACTTCCTTTTCACATTCTGCCCTTTGGCGTGAGGATACGTGCGTCAGGATACAGCCAACCTGTGGCCGTCCTATCAGGAGCAGAAAGGCTAGTGGTGAGGTCGGAGCGACTTTGAGGTAACACGTTAAGTTTACTTTATAGATCGAGTGATTTAATGGTTGACTGCTTCATAAATTAGAACTTTCATATATTACTTTGTTGTTTTCATGTGATTCACCTTCCCTTTGACCCTAAAATGCTCTCCCTTTTTCCTCAAATTGCCGTCTTTAACCAGATTGTGCCTGGCATGCTCTACAATGCACTTGATTGACTCCTGCCGGAAATTGCTTGGTTGATTCTTGATGTCTGTTCTTAGTAAATTTGAGATACACGTTAAGGAGATTGTTACCCTTTCCGATTCACCGAATTGAAGAGAACAAAAATTTTGTAGTATCTGATCTTTATGAGGTACAAGTGAAGACAGACGGATACTAATGGTAGCCTGATGAAGGTACAGAGCAAGACATCCCGAGACAGGCCCCTGACTCACTGATTGACAACCACTTCATCTACCGTCAACTTGCTTTCCTTGATGATGCACAATGGACGATGAGAGTAAACGTTCTGTAAGCCAACGACATGCATAAGGTGCAGAAGTATGGGATCCAGAGAAGGGTCGAGACAGGTTCAGTCTCTTCAAAGAAGTCTTCCCCGAGGCCTTTTTTACAAGCATTTGAAAAACATTCCGTCAAATCAAAGCCAAAGTGTTTAATAGCAGCTTCATTTTGAAGATGGTCGATAGTGATCTCGAGATTTTATATGACTTGAAAAGTTGCATCTCTAAGCTCAATCTTATCTGATGTAGTTAGTTAGCTCCATGGACTAAGCATGTTCGCTTGTCTGGGTCACTGGAGTTCTTCAGTGACCGGCATAGATCGCACATGTTCTCTTCTTCGACAAATCCATAAATCTCTCATCTCCCTGCTGTGTTAGTAGCCCAAATGGCTTCATTTGCTTCGTTGTACATGACAGTATTGCCATCGTCCTGAACGTCGATACGGTGAGCTCCATCATTACGCCCCCAAGTATTCGAAGCCCAGCGCGCGTCCGCTGATGAGCGTAAACCCCAGCGTTCAACACTGCCAACGTACACTACAGCGTTTCCATCCGGTTGCAGCTCCATATGACCATCCCTGCGGCTGCAAGCGGTATTGCTGGCCCACAGAGGTCCGACACCAATGTGATACAGGACCAAGTTGCAGTCAGTCTGCATGATAAACCTGTAGACTCGATTTTTGGATTCAACAAACTGTCCGCTACTCAGTCTCATTCCCTGGGTGATGCAACCGCTCGATGTGTTGGTAGCCCAAATGGCTTCATTTGCTTTATTGTACATGACAGTGTTGCCATCGTCCTGAACGTCGATGTGGTGAGCTCCATCATTAGGCCCCAAAGTATTCGAAGCCCAGAGTGCAACCCCGCCACCGTACACTACAGCGTTTCCATCGGATTGCAGCTCCATATAACCATCCGAGCCCCTGCCAGCGGTATTGCTGGCCCACAGAGGTCCGACACCAGTTTGATACAGGACCAAGTTGCAATCAGCCTGCATGATAAACCTGTAGACTCGATTTCTGGATTCGACAAACTTTCCGCTACTCAGTCTCATTCCCTGGGTGATGCGACTGCCCGCTGTGTTGGTAGCCCAAATGGCTTTATTTGCTTCGTTGTACATGACAGTGTTACCATCGTCTTGAACGTCGATGCGGTGAGCTCCATCATTACGCCCCCAAGTTTTCGAAGCCCAGCGTGCAACACCGCCAGCGTACACTACAGCGTTTCCATCGGATTGCAGCACCATATAACCATCCGAGCCGCACCCAGCGGTATTGCTGGCCCACAGATGTCCGACATTAGTTTGATACAGGACCAGGTTGCAGTTAGCCTGCATGATAAACCTGTAGGCTCGATTTTTGGATTCGACAAACTGTCCGCTACTTAGTCTCATTCCCTGGGTGATGCGACCGCTCGACGTGTTGGTCGCCCAAATGGCTTGATTTGCTTCATTGTACATGACAGCGTTGCCATCGTCTTGAACGTCGATGCGGTGAGCTCCATCATTACGCCCCCAAGTATTCGAAGCCCAGCGTGCAACACCGCCAGCGTACACTACAGCGTTTCCATCGGATTGCAGCACCATATAACCATCCGAGCCGCACCCAGCGGTATTGCTGGCCCACAGATGTCCGACATTAGTTTGATACAGGACCAAGTTGCAATCAGCCTGCATGATAAACCTGTAGACTCGATTTTTGGATTCGACAAACTGTCCGCTACTCAGTCTCATTCCCTGGGTGATGCGACCGCTCGATGTCTTGGTCGCCCAAATGGCTTGATTTGCTTCATTGTACATGACAGTGTTGCCATCGTCCTGAACGTCGATGCGGTGAGCTCCATCATTACGCCCCAAAGTATTCGAAGTCCAGCGTGCAACACCACCACCGTACACTACAGCGTTTCCATCGGATAGCAGCTCCAAGTAACCATCCGAGGCGCTGCAAACGGTATGGCTGGACCACAGAGGTGTGACACCATTTTGATACAGGACCAAGTTGCAGTCAGCCTGCATGATAAACTTGTAGACTTCATTTTTGGACATGACAAACTGTCCACTACTCAGTCTCATTCCCTGGGTGATGCGATTGCTAAGGGTCGGTGAGTTTCCGAAGTTGATGGTATACTTCGCTTGGAAGTTTCTCGGATTGTACAATCCCCAGCTCTTCTGTAAGCTAGCAGCCTTCTGATTCTCGTCGAACATTGCAAAAATGTAAGTCTGGATTCCCCAGTTGGGCTTGAGTGGCGTTCCTCCTCTAGCTAAGTTCACCAGGTTTTGATTGTGGATCCGAGCGTTGTCTGTATCTGTGGCAGTGCCTCCTGAAGTGGGCCAGCCGATCTCCCCAACGACCACGCGCATGTTTCCCTGCCCCAATCTCCCCAGAGCTGCATAAACTGCGTCCAGCCGCTGTGCGAGAAGATTTGTGTATATCTCGCCATTGTTTGAATCTTTGACAGAACCAGATTCAAGACGGCCAAATTGCAACGTGATTTGCCCATTGGAGTTCATGTACGTGAAGTAAGGGTGGATGTTGCAGATGAAATCGGATCCTACCGAGGCCAACCAGTTCACCAAGGGCTGCATCCTTCCGGTGTCAGCGAACTGGCCGCTAGATGGGGGGAAAAAGTTCGCGACGACGTCGAAAGCGTGAGCTGTTGTGACCTTGATCCCACTCTCACCTGCCAGATTCAGCGCCTCTCTCAGATTCTTCATCGAAGGCAGCAGTGCGTTTTTCAAATTGTTCGCCGTCGAAGTAAGGACTTCGTTTCCCACCGTAACAGCGACGATGTTACTGGAGCCATAAGGTACGATGTTGCGATCGACCCAGCTTCTGGCAGAGCCCACACTTGATAAGGCCTTGATGATATCTGCGTTCGTTATGCCCACGGTGAGTTGAATGCCGCTGTTGGAGAAAGCCTGGAGCGTGCTCTGGTAAGTGTGGTAGAGGCGGACGCGGGTGATGCCCAATTGTCGGAACTTCTGGACGACCTGGGTCCTGCTCGGGATGTTGGAGCCTTCCTCCCCGAAACAGATCCCTGTCCAGCCGTCTGCCATAAAATCACTGGAAAATTAGAACTATAGCTGGCCCATACGTCGGAACTTCTGAACGACCTGGATCCTGCTCGGGATGTCGGAGCCTCTTCCCCGATATAGATCCCTGTCCAGCCTCCTGCCATAAAATCACTGGAAAATCAGAACTATGGCTGGCCCCAACGTTCACCTCGAAAACAATTCAGCTGAAACTAGAAATGTTATGAATAATTGAAGCCTCAAGGTCATCGAATTGCTGAATCGAGAAATGTTTCTGCATTTTATCCCGAAAACCTCGAACAGAGGATATATCAGATGGCTCTGATTGACATGTCCGAGTGCTGTTGCTTAGTAAGGTGCGAGGGTCAAATACTCACCGGTCGACCCAGTTCTTAGTGTCAGAGCCCAAATCCATAGATTGAACTTTGAGCATGTGGAAAGCAAACCACTCACGTGTCGGAAGCCATTATGAAAGCCCTAGCCGTGTCGAGAAGCCATTATGAGCCATAGCCATAGATTCGATTCTTTCTGTAGAGAATTCGCTGCTTTCCAAGTTGCTGTGCAGTCTTTCAGTGGAGACTTCGCTGCTTTTTTGTCTCAAGACTTTTTGTAAGTCATCAAAGTCTTTCACTCTCACAAGAGAAACATGTACAGGATAATTTACATTAAATCACAATTAATATTACGAAGAGTACCTTCTATGTATATTCTGATTCTTGACAACTTTGGTTGTAGGCATGAGAATTGTCGTTCATCCGGAAGATGGAACTTCATCATTTAGATGTAAAAGAAACACAAATGTCATGTCCACTTCCATAAATCGGTGTAAATTCCAATATTCTTAGGGAAATGAAAGAAGGAAATTCACGGGCCATCTATCATCTGCTTCAATATTTTTGAATCCCTTGGACTGGAACTTTGACGAGAATAAGTTACTATAATATGATATAAAATTCCTCATTCTGACTTCTTGTAACAAAGACGCGCAGTAAACTTACCTCACCTTCGAATGTAGAGAACACAGCAAGCTCACGTCTGTGTCCAAGAGATGCATGCAGTTTCTGAAACCTACAGACTTCAAAGATCGCGATTTCTTTTTCTCCCCACCTTCAGATTCAAGTTTGCCAATATTGACTTTTGTAGAACTATTACTGGTTGCTGCCGCTCTGATTATGGATACAAAACTCTTCAGCTTCAAGCCTGTATATCCCGTGATAAGAATGTAACCAAGCTCCATACAAAATAAGGTACTTGTCTAAATCCTAACTTGCTCCGGAGCTTTCAAGTGCATGCATTTTGAGGACCATGTCAAAAATTGGGTGATAGACAAAATGACTTGACCTTGGACCAACTTGCGATATTCCACAGCCAATATTTAATGCAAGATGCAACGTAAAAACTCACCACGGCGCTTGAAACTTAAAGATCTGAGATTGGGATGGGTGGCAACCTGTCAAAAGTGAGCATTCTTAAGAAAAGTATCTTTAAAAACATAAAATAGGCTCAATTCCAGATTTTGGTACAACTGCTTCAGTCTAAAGTAATGGGAAAACAAGGTTTCTCTAATCTTTGATTCAAAGTAAAACGTTCATCACTATTGTCAATTATCCACATCCACGAAAAGAGAATATTGCATGTACTGTATTTTGATACACTGAAGAAACCCTAGCTTCCGAACTAAAACTCTATTAGCATCTGAAAACCTGTCTGAGCTTGCCATCGATAATGAGAGCAGAGCCTACTCCGCCAAAAACATATTGGGTGAAGATCGCCAAATCACAAACATATCGAAAACCTCTCAAAGCAGGGCACATGATAAGCCTGCAACTTTGGATGAACTACAGAATTTCTTGACGTCCTCCCAAACTCAGCGTTCATGGAATTAGCCACTCATTGTTTGCGGAATTGCGGGACGCTGTCCTTACACATTTGCTAAATATCCATGGCTAGCCTGCACTATCCTGTCAATCGACGACCCATTGTACATGGCCCTCTTCTGCCTCTTCTTTCAGATTTAATGCCTGTTGAATCCGTCTGACCTTGCAAGATCTCGTCGCCCTTGTTCATAATTCGAACGTTTTTCCTCATGGCAGGTGAATCAGAAGTATAACTACTACGTGTACACTGTGCACAATGTAGTGTCCATCCCCGCATGTTCTTGTACGGTGTGATTTGTGTTTCTGCTTCTCGCTCTTTTACGAAACTAAATAATGAAATAGCCCTAGGAACTTTAGTTCTCTTTCTGCCTATTCTATGAGAGTGGAGGCGAGCCCATTTTTCCATTCCGTTCCATCCTTAAAGTGGTATTTTCACTTTTTTTCTGTCCACTCGGTGCCAACCTTGGGCGGTTACAATAAAATGCACAATGTGTTCTTCATGATTTAATGTCAGATAGATCATTTTATATTTTTATAATCATCATTCAAAGCAACCTCTCTAATCACATTGACTAAACTCTACAATATGATTACGTCTGGCAAATTTTTTCCTCTATTATTTTAACCTAAATTATGTCTAATTTTAACCATGTTTATTCATTCAGTCATCAGTACCATAATATTCTTACTTGTCCACAAACTGCAAGAATCATGGCTTTTAGCCTGCTGTAGTACTTCCGTTTGTTCAAAAAATTGACCATCTTTTGCAGAGGATGAAGGAAAATCAAAACAAATCTCGGTCTGTATTTCAAAATTACACTTCATGGATATATCAAGAAGCATTCATTTGAGAAGACAACATAGGAATGGTGACCCTATGTCATTTACTTCATTATGACCTATGAGCATTCAACTAAAAAAATGTGTATGAGACTTGTCAGCTACATTTAGATAATAATGAAATGCTTAGAAAGTTAATAAAAAAGATGTTCTTTTGCACTCTATATTTTTGAACCAAAAAATACAATAAGATAGTTCAAAATAATATTAAATTGCTGATATCTACAACATGATATACATTTCTCATTGCAATTTATTATATTATAATAATTAAACTTAAGCTCAATATGAGGCTTTATCATCATTTGAAATTAGTATCAAGATTTGATCTCTTAAAATACAAGTGATTGAGAAGAATGCTTTTAAAAAAACAGAAATATATGTGTATCTATGCTTTTTCAAACATCTATTTTCAATGTAAAATTAAAGTTAGTGTATTTTTTTGGTAAAAATAGGTTATACTTATCAGAAATGACTCAAATTTCAAAGCATGAGTAAAACCACATTTAACTACAATTAGGAAAAATAAGTTTCTTTATTTCTTCTTAAATCGTCGCAAAAAAAACATTCCTTAAAATGTTTTATATTAAAATATTTTCATAAATTCCAATTCAGCTGAAACTATAAATGTTATGAATCACTAAAGCCTCAAGGTCATCGCATTGCGGAATCGAGAAATGTTTCTGCATTTTATCCCAAGAACCGCGAACAGAGTATATGTCAGATGGTTCTGATTGACATGTGCGAGTGCTGTTGCTTAGTAAGGTGCGAGGGTCAAATACTCACTGGTCAGCCCAATTCTTAGGGCCATACCACACGACCGGCAGCGGCAGCTAATCCTCGCTTGTTATTGGCACCCGAGGTTCCCCTTTACCACACGGGATGGAGCGACAATTTGATATATCCTAGGTGTAAAAGAAATCGACTTCTCAAAACTACCAGGCACTTCCGACTGGAAATCCGGTTTTTTCGGAATATATAGACTCCACGTGTACTTTCGCGCCTTCCTGGGTTACTCTTCCAAAGACTTCTCACCGCTGCGTTGCAATTAGTAGACATATTTTTCCCTTTTCACTCCAAAGGCACTACCGGTAGTGTGGTAGAGGGTATGGAATTCTCTCCAGCTGGCCAACTTAGGCCTACGAAAACCTGGTTTTCTTATAGCCAGGAGCCGGCTGCCGGTAGTGTGGTAACGCCGTTAGTGTCAGAGCACAAATGCATAGAATGAACTTTGAGCATTTGGAAAGCAAACTACTCCCGTGTCGGAAGCCATTATGAAAGCCCTAGTCGTGTCGAGAAGCCATTATGAGCCATAGCCATAGATTCGATTCTCTCTGTTGAGAATTCGCTGCTTTCCAAGTTGCTGTGCAGTCTTTCAGTGGAGACTTCGCTGCTTTTTTGTCTCCGGACTTTTTCTAAGTCATCAAAGTCTTTCACTCTCACAAAAGAAACATGTACAGGACAATTTACATTAAATCACAGTTAACATTACGAGGAGTACCTTCTACGTATATTCTGATTCTTGACAGCTTTGGTTGTTGGCATCAGAATTTCATCACTTTTTAAAATGGATGTTGTGAATAAAGTGAAAACAAATAAGTATGAAAGATGTAAAAGAAACACAAATGTCATGTCGAGACCCATAAATCGGTGTAAATTCCAATAGTATTAAAGAATGAAGAAAGTAACTAAAACAAACACTATATGTTTTTTTTCTTAGAACAACGTATAAATCTTAAAACAACCATTTATAAACATTTCTACAATATATTTTGAACAACTACTTGTTAATGAAAAAGAATTGAAAGCCAAAACGATTGATTTTAACTCTCCAAGCTCAGAATATACAACTTTGAAAATGTAAGTAATGAATATAATATAATCAGTCGAATTTCTATGATGTCAGGTTTTGCAAATCATGATTATAACGTGAGTGATTCTCATTAAACGGAGATCATTGATGACATTAATTTTGCGAAATCATACTTGATTTTTTTGGACTTGGGAAGCAAATCATGGAAGAAGCAAAATAACTTAGTGTATTTAGTCAGAAATTGGATCATCTTTCTAGATACTGGATAGGTGCTGCTAGAGTGAATTAGTCCTATTCGGTCTTGATGGTTCAAAAGTATACTTCCATTGAGAGCATCAAGTCACTTTGCTTCCAAAATGTGTTGCCGAAGGAAACCTCGACTTCAAACCTAAAAAGTCATCGAGTGAGTTAGATCAATACCACTTGACACCCTTATGACCTTTTCGCTATAACATCCAATCAACTGCATGGAATCATCCAGAATTACTTTGTCTGCAGTGCCACCTACACTAGCAGTGTAAGTCCAAAGATCACAACAAAATGTGCTCACTATGTTTGAGACTCCTAGCTATTTTGCAGCCTCCTCGAACGTCCCTCGATTATATCTATTGCCAACAATTTCATTGTGTTGTCTAACATCTTGTGCAATATTAATCTTCAAAGCGAAAGTTTGACTCCTTTTATTGTAATAAAGAAGTTCAATGGTTTACTACCTCCCATATCTTGCCATTCACTTCCTCACTATCCCCATTAAAATAAAAATAAATTGTAGCAAGAGCTCTTGCTTGTGAACGTTCATCTTCTTCCAATGGGGATGACGGGTGGTTATTTTCAACCTGATTTGTAGCCATAGCTCAAAGGATACCATTTACCATGCCTCCAACTCCAGACCTCAATGCGATCTTGGCGAGCTATGTATTCTCTTTGACCACTACGTAACTCACATTTGCAACTTCACAAATAAATACAACCTAGTCTTAAGATCTAACGAAGTAGAGGTTCCATGTGTTCATAGTTTCTTTCATCTTCTCTTAATTCGCTAAATATTATGTAGTCTAGGTAGAGTTTCCATTAAAGGATTTGAGTTATTTAC